ATGAAATCATCACCAAAGGACTTTGCAGTCCTCTGTCTCTTAATCCTCACAGGAGTTCCATTGTCACCCTCAACAGGATTCTCAATGTGTTCCATCGCAATGGTGGGTTCAGGAATTACAGTGAATTCCTCACTAGATGGAGTAGGTATCTCCTGATTTGATGAACTCGACATATCCTTCATAGGAAATATGTCCTCAAAGAAAGTTGCATCATTCGACTCCATAATCGTACCAACATGCATGTCGGATACCTCAGATTTTATTATCAAAAATCTATAGCCGATGCTATGAAAAGCATAGCCCAAAAGAACACAATCCACGGTTTTTGGTCCAAGCTTGCGCTTCTTGGGAATTGGTATATTGACTTTCGCCAAACAACCCCAAGTACGTAGGTAAGAGAGTTTCGATCTTTTCCTTCTCATTCCTCAAACGGAGTCATGGTCTTATGCTTTGTGGGAACTCGGTTTAGGACATGACACACAGTCATTAGCGCCTCCCCCAACCATTCCTTGGAAAGACCCGATGTGTCTAACATGGCGTTAACCATATCAGTTAGAGTTCGGTTCTTTTTTTCGGCTACCCCATTTGACTGAGGTGAGTAGGGAGGCGTCCTCTCATGGATTATACCATGTTCCGCACAAAACAGATCAAATTCATTGGAAAAATACTCTCCACCACGATCAGACCTAAGCAGTTTAATTTTTCGATCAAGTTGGTTCTCTGCCTCAGCTTTATAGTTTTTGAAGAAAGTAAAAGCCTCCTCTTTTGATTTCAGGAGATACACATAACAATATCTAGTGGAGTCATCAATCAACATCATGAAGTATCTCTTTCCACCTTTTGTCAACACGCCATTCATCTCACAAAGATCAGAATATATAAGCTCTAGTGGCGCCAAGTCTCTTGCCTCTGCAGTCTTATGGGACTTGCGAGGTTGCTTAGCTTGCACACATACTTGGCACCTAGAGCCTTTGACAGTAGAGATTTTCGGAATTAAATTCATATTGGCTAGCCACGTCATGCAACCAAAGTTAATGTGACAAAGTCGTGAATGCCAAATATCAGACTCATTGTTGCGGCAAACATTATTAATAACTTTAGTGCAAATATCTACAAAGACAGGCGGAACAAGCCTCCGTTCTCATAGCCTTTTCCAACAAATTGTCCATACCTAGAAATTACAACTTTATTGGATTAAAAAACCAACTTAAAACCATCTCGACATAAACGGGAGCCGCTAACGAGATTTTTATTTATGGACGGCACATGATGAACGTTCTTCAGACGCACGGTCTTCCCTGAAGTAAACTTCAAATCGACCGTACCAACACCTCGAACGATGGCATGTGACCCGTTCCCCATCAGCACGGGTGAAGTCCCTGTTGCCTGGTAAGAAGAAAACATGGAGGCGTCAGCACAAACATGTACAATAGCACCGGTGTAAATTAACCAATCAGGGGATTGAAATACTGAAAGGATGGTAGGAAAAATACCGTACCCTGATTCCTTCATATCAGTATCATCGATGACAACATTAGCGGACTTGCCGCTCTTCTCATGTTCGCGCTCCTCAAAGCGGTTAGGACACTTCGGAGCCCAGTGATTAGGATCACCGCAGACATGGCAAAGTCCCTTCCCCTTCTTATGAGAATTCTTCTTGAAGTTGGTAGAATGTGATGGCTTGTTCTTTGTATCAAACTTGCCTTTGCCCTGAGTTTTGTTCTTATTGTTTTTGAACTTGTTGGGCTGGGAGTTCTTCTTCTGTACCATGTGGGCACTAGAACCTCCCTCAGCAACTCGAGCAAGTGTGTCCTTTGCTCTCGCCTTCTCTTCAACATCAAAAGTACCAATGAGATCCGCAACGGAAAGCTCCTGTCTCTTGTGTTTCAGGGAAGTAGCAAAATTGTTCCACGAAGGTGGAAGCTTGGCAATGATGCCTCCGGCAATAAATTTGTCCGGCAACACACACTTGAAGTACTCAAATTCTTTTGCGAGCGACTGTATCTCATGAGCCTGCTGTACAACAGGGCGCTCATCAGTCATCTTGTAGTCATAGAATTGCTCCATGACGTACAACTCGCTGCCGGCGTCAGAGGCACCAAACTTGGCCTCGAGCGCAGCCCACATGTCCTTGCCGTTGTCAAATGACATATACGAATCCACAATGGAGTCATCAAGAACACTCAGAAGAGCGCCTTTAAAGAGGGTATCGATCTTCTCGAAAGCTTCCAGCTATGCTGGATTAAGATCGCCCTCAGGCTTGCCCTTGGTGGCGTCATAGCAGCCCATGGTCTGAAATCAGTAGACTGCTCTCGTGCGCCACCTCTTATATTGCGCCCCCTTAAAGGCACGCGGCTTCAGATGCGCAACAAAACCACTCAGAGTAAATTGCCTATAATTAGGTTTTTGGATTGTTGGAAATATGAGCAAGTTACTACGAGATTTAATCTGAATAATTAGAAGATAAATCATGACTATGGTAGCAGAGATTAAACTAATCATGCGAAGTAGCATAGCAGATGAACAGATCACATCTAGGGCACATACTAGAAACATGAATTCTACCACGATCTCGAACAGGAAGGATAGAATCACATACGGTGCAGCAGGAGCAGCACCGCCGGCGTTGACGTTGTCGCCCATGTCGTCGAGGATGAGGTTGCCGAGGTCGGGGAAGAAGTCGTCCTTCGCGAAGTCGTCGCTGCGAGCAGTCGCGCTCCCAAAAAACCTGACCGCCCCTCTCCCGTACAGGGGTTCCGGAGGCCTGCTGGCCCTTCTCCCGGTGCACGCCGAAAGGAGGGATGGAGAAGACTTGCTTGGCGGCGCAATGATCTGGAACGGTGGTGATAAACCATACGAAGCGGCGGCGTCTAGGGTAGACGTCTGCGTGCCTATATAGTGCGGGCCGGGTAGGTCGCGGGAGTAAACCCCACGTCCGAGTCGTCACGATCTAAAAGAATCGGAAAACGGTTCAGTAATTAACGCGCCCGTTAATTATTAATTAATGACTTATTAATTTTTCCCGAACAGCAAAAATATAGACAACGTGCATAGCTCTGTCCTCGGCTCGGCTCAATCCCGCAACCCGCGACGCGGCGCGGCAAGCGAGGAGGAGGAGCGCGCGTGTAGGTCTCCTTTTTTCATGCTCATACAAGTGGTAGAAGAGCTCACCTTATAAAGAGGTGCAACTCTATCTCAACTTCTGGGGTGGGACTAAACTTTAGCCTCACTCACTCCACTCACATGTGTGCATGAATGAGTCAAAAGAATTTCAGAATTTTAGTTGGGCTTTGGGCCAAAGGTCTACTAGCAAAATTCTAACAAAGGCCTTTTGTTCCTTAACCCTCATTGGCTTTATCTGTTCACATAATATTGCCAGGGAGGGGCTTTTAGTGGTTGTTTGGATATCCAGGATTAGATGTGAGATTTAGGAAAACGAGTTTTAGGAGGATTTTTAGAAAATACCAGTTTTAGTTAGTTTTTCTGTTAAGATAAGTATATACAATTTCTTGTTTGGGTGGAGAAAAAGAAGAAGGAAAACACAATTACTCAGTTACCTCGCGCTCCTCCTACGCGAGGCCATGAAGCTTCACCGTGCATACTTCTCCTGTTTGTGTGTATGCTACATGACGTGGACGCACATGCTTTTCTGCCAAATGCGAACAGAATTTGCGAGGTGGCATACATGAGCACATACAATGGCTTCGAGGTGGACAAGATGTACATATAGCAGTATAGCAACGCAGGTGCACCGCTCGATGTGGAGCGGAACAGTGGCAGAGACGCAGCCAAACTGGGCATGGATGTCTAGAGAACGGGCATGAAGAGATAACCAGCGCCGCATCGACCAAGCCAGGCATGGTGAGCTAAGTAGTAGAAGAGCCGGTCGAGGCACGGCCGGCCATGGCAGCGTGGTCTGTCGGCGACCACGACGAACCGACAAGGAACTGCGCACATCTCTTGCCATTATGCCGGAGTCTGTTGCGGTCGGGTACCAGCCTTCAGCCTCGCATCATCGATGCCACGGAGCTCAACGTCGTCGGCGGCGCCGTCGGCGCCGTCGGCGACCACCGCGGCCACTGGCATGGACGCGCGGGGGCGTAGAATTAGATGGCAAACGCAACAGTGGAGATGACGAAGACGATGCAAACGCTAAAGTTCAATAAGCCGATGCAATTCTCTGTGCGAGGCACCGGACGGCGTGAAAGCCATAGTATACAAAAAACAACTTTATAGAAAAACGTATATTAGTCGTTTTTCTATAAACTGATTTTTTGAGTTTTTAGCAAACCAGATTATCCATATCCACGATTTCATTGGATAACCCAAACAAGGTTTTAGGCGGTTATAACAGATTTTACGTTTAAGAAAAACTGGTTCTCCACAAACACCGTATCCAAACAACCCCTTAGTGATCTAAACGCTCTTAAATTTCTTTAAAAAAGTATAAAACATGATTAATACAGTAGCTTAATCATGTGATAAAAAAACAATAGAGGTAAACATTGCGTTGTTTCTAATAAGTGCTTTTTTAATGCCTTTTTAAGTAGGCATGATGATTTTAATGATACTCACGTAAAAATAGTAATTGCAACATGCAAAAAAGCATCATGAATCACATGACAAGCACATTTAAGCCTAACATATATTTTATATATAAAGATTTTGTGATCAAACAATTTATGCAAGCAAGAAAAGATGAGAAGAGAGTGACAATTTGTGTGCGTTGCTCGACTTGTCTGGTTTTTTTGGGGTCCTGGCTGCTTTTGTTTGTGTTGCCCTTTTGGTCAGTCCACATCCCTCGTCGGGTTAATTAGCAGCTCCCATCCCGTCCCGTGTGCGCCTGCCTCCCCGCAGTCCCACTCCCATCTCTCTTCTCCTGCGCCAACAACAGCAGGCAGCCTACTTCCTTGTCGGCGGTCGCCGGGGGGCGCGAGCGAATCGTTGGGTAGAGGAGGAGGGAAAGGCCGGGGGCGGCGCTGGGCGCCCACCGCAGGTGCATGGTGGAAGCCGCCGCGGGACGCCGGTCGGGTACCAGCCCTCGGCGGCCTAGCGGCGGAGGGGAGCAGCAGCTGCCCCTTGTCGCCGTCGCGCTCGCCACGCGCGTCGTCATGGTCACGTCCGCTCCGCCCGCGGGGGGCGGTGTGGGAGGAGGTGGAGCGGCCGCTGGTGGCCGGTGTCTCGATGACCTTCTCGGCTGCCTGCTCGGCGTGCTCCGCGTGCTTGGCTTCCCGTGGGCCGCGTCCCCTCAGAGGCAGCCGCGCCCAGTGCCGCCACGCGGGGCCATCCCGTCGACAGCGGACGGCCGGCGCTTCGCGGCGGAGCTGAGGCGGATCCCCGGCCGGATTGCTGGCAATGGCGCCTGCGCTGTTGCGTCGCTTTACACGATGCAGGGCAAGAAGGGCGTCAACCAGGACGCGATGATCGTTTGGGAGGTAAAACACAGCAATTGTCTACCCGCTTGCCCCCTTCCAATTCTTATGCTGTAATAATTTTACTTTTACTTGATTAGAATAGATCTCGGTAATCCAAATGAAACGTGGTTCTAGGTTGGGTTTAATTTCGCTCTCGCTTGCTTTGATCTGGATTTGCTTCGTCAGTATTGAGTTGATCTCGATGTTAACCTCAACAACTGTTTTCGAGCACTTTTTCAGTGTATGTTCGTACGACTTATGTAATATGCGGAAAGAAACACCGTGTACGTACGAATCCTATAGTTCCCAAGAATTGAAGTTTGACTCATTATATATTCCTTTGAAATGAATTGTCATTGGATGTTGCTGGTAGAGAGTTTCAGTTCCCCTGGCTTAATTCAAGTGCAATGATTGGATTTGTGTTGGATACTTGAATGTTGGATGGGCTCCACATGATTCTCATCCTTATCCATTCTTCCTTTTCTTTTTCCCCTTCTTGCTGGATGATCTTATCTGCTTGACGCTTCTTTACATCCTTTTCCATACGTTTGATTACAAATTTGGCTGCATGTCCAATGTACCACATGTACTGTTCACATCTCACCTGTTTGTGGAACTCATTTACCTTCGAGGAATTCCCTAGGCAGCATGCTGAACTAGACTTGCATGATTTGACAACTTTAGTACTCAGTATAAGAGCATCTCCAGCCGTTGGCCCCTCAGGAGGCTTAAAAATCGGCGCCTGGGGGCGAGCCGGCGCTAAAATCGGCTCTGGGGGCGATTGGGTTCCCAGCCGCCGCCCCCAGGTCGTCCCAAGGCGCCGATATCTGCCCATTTTTGGCGCAAATGTGCTTGCTTTCCGGCCCACTTTCGGCGAAAAATCGGCCCGATATCGGCGCAAATCGGCCCATATTCGCCGTGGCTCGGCGCGAATTCGACAAAAGTAATTTTTTTATCACATGGTTCGCCGTGGTTCGGAGCGCCGGAAAACTCGCCCGGAAGGTGGTGGAGAGGTTGCCGCAACGAAACCTTCTCTCTTTCCTGGCAGAGAATCGCCTATCTAGCGGTACTGGGCGGTGGGTGGCGCCGGGATTGGCAGGGTGGTGGCCGAGCGCGCGGGGGTGGGGGGCGAATCTGGACGATTGCTTTACTTTTCACGATAGTGTGGCCTAGGCGTGTTTTCCCCTTCCGCCGGAGCCCCCGAGCGCCCCCCCAGTGCGCTGGGTTCGGCCTGGGATCGCCGGGCCCAAAAACGGGCCGAGCCGGCGGATTTCGGCGTCTTGGGGGCGCGACTGGGGGGTTTTTTCGGCGCCGGCGCGAAAAAGGTCGCCCTGGGGGGCCTGTTGGGGGCGCGGCTAGAGATGCTCTAATGCACTGGGATATGAAAGATGGGCAATATAAGTTGCTAATTTTACACGAGTATGGCTATATGTACAAAATTACTGTACCAACTAGGTATCGACTGAAGACATGCAACCAATAAGAAGAGGAGAGCTTCACCTGTATTATTATGGGTCCCACATCCAATTCCTCACATACTCTCGACTACATACTTTATCAGTGCCCTAATTCAGGCATGCAACATGACTGACTTTCCACAAATTGCTTATATTTGCCATATTCATCTTCAGTCTGCTTTTAACACATACAGTTTGCTGTTGTTATTGTTCTGAATGAGATGATTGATTTAGATAAGATATTTTACTTTTTGCCAGAACTTCTGTTCAAGAGATGACACCATTTTTTGCGGTGTGTTTGATGGTCATGGACCTTACGGTCATTTGGTTGCTAAGAGAGTGAGAGATCTCCTACCCGTAAAGCTTGGTGCGGATATGGGGACAGATAAGGGTAGAGAGACACCCGCTAGCAACATGGAAGGCAACACAAATGAAGTAGGTTTACCCGTAAACCCAGAGAGAAAAGAAACCACCACTTCTGTTGCAGCTGAGCAGGATAGGGAATACCCAGAGATATTCACAACATTCAGAACTTCATTCTTGCGGGCTTTTCACATAATGGACAGGGATCTGAAGTTACACAAGAATATCGATTGCTTTTTCAGTGGAACTACAGCAGTGGCAGTGCTCAAACAGGTAGCCATACGCTGGATTTTTAATGCAAAACTCTGTTCTGATGTTAAATTTCAGTTTAAAATATTCGTGAAAAGCAGTGTGTTGAGAGTATTGATTTACTCATATATCTTGCTGTGTAGGGTCATAATCTTATAATAGGCAACTTGGGAGACTCAAGAGCTATCTTAGGCACTAGAAATGAAGATGGTCAGCTCATTGCTGTCCAGTTGACGGTTGATCTCAAACCTAACATTCCAAGTATGCTTCGTATTCTCTTTAGGGTTTCCATATATTTATCATTTTCATATCCAATTTCTTGCAATATATCATCATGTATGCAGTGTAGGATTTTGTGACAGTGGACTTGGGAACTCTAGTATAATTTGTGTGCCCTTGTTTATGTCTTGCCTATGTGACATTTCTGATCTTATGCCATGTAGCACTTACCATTTTTGTGTTAATATTTTACCCTTTCTTGTCTTTATCGTGTAACAGACTAAATTTGAATGTTGGGCCCATATAACTTATTTATATCAATATATCAATTATCAGGGTGCCCACGTAAATCAGTTTTTTTGGTTTTAGTGTGGCAAGGCAACAAGGCTTGTTGTGATGTGTTACTATCGTGTGAAAGTGTGACACAGTGGTCAATAATTTCTGGTTGGCGCTTGAATTTCTAATACGCACTAAAAACTCAAGTGAGACCTGCCTGTCAACGAGACGGATATTACCAAACCCCTAGTTTTTCTGAGTAGCATTTGCTTCTTATAAAGTAAAATGTATCTATGCTTTGGAGGATTATTTAGAGATGTTTATCGACATCATCTCTTAAGCTATATTTTGAATCATCTTTTTGCAAGATATACAATTTACAGAACCATTTTCATATTATTTTGAAGTATTTCTGTAAATTGTACATATATGAGTATATGATGGCAACCATTTTCATGTTGCTCTAGCAGCAACCAGCAAGTAACACTGCAGGTGAAATGCCATATTTGCAAAAGTTAATTATGTTTTTATGCCTTCTTTTTCTTCCTTTTCTACACTTCGTGTGAGGTATTGTACTGAGATTGATGGCACTTCTAAATGAAGATTGCTATATGCTTCTGACACGCTATTAATATGAATGTAATGGCATGGTTGTTATTCAGGTGAAGCACAACGCATCAGGCAACGCAGGGGCAGAATATTTGCACTTCCTGAGGAGCCAGAGGTTGCTCGTGTTTGGCTGCCAAAGTATAACTCACCTGGATTGGCCATGGCAAGGGCATTTGGAGACTTCTGTCTTAAGGAGTATGGTCTAATTTCTATGCCTGAAGTCTCCTGTCACCGTGTCACAGAGAAGGATGAGTTTATTGTGTTGGCGACTGATGGGGTGAGCAGATGTTTTGAGTTATACCATATCATTTCCAGAGACTCCTAAGTTGAAGGTTTTCTGGTACATGATGCAATTATCTAACTTGTTTGCTAATTCTAGGTGTGGGATGTGCTGTCAAACACTGAAGTTGTTAGCATCATAAGCAGAGCCACTTCTCGGGCTTCTGCAGCACGCTTCCTGGTTGAATCAGCTAATCGTGCCTGGCGTACTAGGTACCCTACTTCTAAAATTGATGACTGTGCTGTTGTTTGTCTCTTCCTGAATACACATGAAGCAGATGAACCATCTAGTTCTGCAGCCAACAATTTAGCAAATGCTCTAGAAGTTAGTGGTGATAAGCACTCAACAGTTGTCCAACTGAGCACTGGAGTATCTGCCGATGTGGTTAATGCACCTGTGAAAGATACAAATGAGCTATCTTTTGTTGATGCTGTTGCGAAGCCAGTTACTGTCTCAGATTTGACAAAGGATGGTTCAGGCACAAAGCAAAGCATCATTTGAGCTTGTGTGTTGCATGAGATTGAACATTTGTTGGGCGATTTGTGCTGTGTTAGTGCGCTCCCATTCTCCCATTCAGAATTCTGAGCCTGATGCCTATTTTTATGAGCGCGTTGAAATTCACTGCTTGCTATTTTCTACATGCAAGTCCGAGTAGGGTCCTGAGTTTTCGTCATTTGTGAAGTACCACTTCGGTTTTAGTGTGACCTGCCATATTTCTTTGTAATAATTTTGTTCTTAATGTTTGTTTAGTCTCGTAACAATAATAGTATCCCTATAGGAAGAAGCCTTCCGTGTTCTCACAGTTCTGTAATATTCATTCTATTGCCGTCCATTACAGTGGCTGTTATGCATTTCAACTTTTGGTCCTCTGTACACAATCGCATGGGCTTATGTGTATTGGTACGATCATGAGGGTGGATGTGCATAGACCTTTAGGGCATTTTTTGATGTGTGGGATTGTAAAGTTTCAGTAAATTGACGAAGCTCATTTGAATTTTGAAGGATTTGAGTTTGTTTGATTGCATCATATTTTTTTCTGAGAGTTTGCCAAAGGCGTACCTTAACTTTATAGAAGAGAGAAAATATGTATAAGAGATTACAACGGAGCACCACAGGCCGGCGATCCCACACCCCTCCACTCCGGCTTAAACTAGGCAACTAACAATATCAGTGAACTCATCTCCCTCCTGCAAGAGCCCATTGCCGGATTTCGGCAAAGATTAGCTCTATGGTGCCAAACACACTACGGATGTTACCCGAATGAAAGACCCTATTATTTCTTTGCTTCCATAGAGTCCAACAAAGAAGCATGACGAACAGAGTCGAAGCCCTTTCTTTCCTCCTTTTGGATCTGTTTGCGCCGACTAGTCCATCAATCCTGTAGCCTGTCCTGATGGGAAGGGAGCATGCCCAGATCACCGTCCACCTTGGAGAAGCACAAATACCAAACATGCCTTGCAAAGACACATTGCAACAGCAAATGATCAACCACCGTGTCTTCCTCCTCATCACAAAAAAAGCAGGGTGAAGCCTCCTTTTGTAACCCATGCCCGAGCCTTCTGTCCGAGGCCCAAAGTCTGTATTAAATTGCCAACCACATGAATATTTTGCAGGAAAGCGGGGCCCAGCTCTTCCAAATCGCAGCTGTGGGCTGGAATAGGATCCCCCCTTCCTAGAGCATCTTGCATGCAGAAGCTGTTGTGTACTCTCCAACAGCATTCCAAGCCTAAATGGCCTTATCTTCATTGGCCGGCACAAGGCCAGTCTCAATCAGCAGCTCCCAAAGACAGATAAACTGCGTCAGCTTGATTGCATCATATGAAAGACAAAAGATTGTCTTCAAGAGGTTTAAGTGGATGCTAGATTTGAGTTTGTTTGATTGCATCACAGGAAAAACAAAAGTAGTACGAAGATTTCTCATTGGAAGTTCTTTGTATGGGATTCAATCCTGCAAAGCCAGCGGTCACAGTAGAAATTTTTCTAAGTTTCTCATCCTATAAAAAGCCCCTTGAATGAAGGAGATCATTAATCATTGACTGTAAGAACACATCGCATTTGTAGATTTTGTAAGGGCAAAGAGAGAATTATATGTTAAGTAAATCTTGGTGGTTAAAATCTGTGAATTCATGAACGAATGTATATTAAATTTTGGTGGATACAATCAGTAGGGAATACATGAGCATTTTATGCGAACATGGCATGTCTGGGGTCTGCTTGGTTGGCCCGAGATATTTGCATCTTATAGTGCAGTGCCACACACTATGCAATAATAAGTCATTGTGCCCTTGTTGCATCTTTCTCTACCCGTTCTTCTACTCTTTTCTTCTGTTCGAATATCTTCTCATCTCACAGCTGCAATGGCTTACAAAATAAGCCGAACAAGCTGCAATGGCTTACAAAATAAGTCAAACAAGCATGAGCAAGTTTTATGCTTCAAGTTCGAACGGCTTGAGGACCAACATGATGTGTTTTGGTGCTAGAGAGCTCATGTGAACTGGTTGGACAATTGAGATCGTAATACGAAATTCTTTCACTCCTTTGCCATGGAACAGAAATAACGAAATACTCTGATTTTTTTGAAAGGTGATGATCATGTGGAGGTGGAGGGGGAGAAGGGCTTAAGGCCCTTATAATTAATTATTCCTTTAAATACTTTACCCTCTTGGGAGGTACTGATCTTACCCACATCTTGGCTGCGGTGCCAAACATGTTTCGACTCAAATGAACGCCCACTTTCTTGCGGATTTCAAGGAAGAAGTGTGGGCAGTGCTAGAAAGCATTGGTGATCTCAAAGCACCTGGCCCGGATGTGATGTTGGCGATCTTCTACAAGAAGTATTGATTGTAGTTGGCGAGAAAATCGTACAAGAGAGTTTTTGCTGTGTTGCAAGGCGGCAGTATACTGGAGGGATGGAATGAAACTTTAGTGGCACTCATCCCAAAGGTTCAAGACCCAAAGAGTGTTAAAGACATATGCCATATTAGTCTCTGCAATGAGGTGTACAAACTTGTATCAAGGTTCTAGCCAACCATTTAAAGACAATTAATGATGAGGTCATTTCACCGAATCAAAGTGTGTTTGTGTCCAATAGTTTAATCTTAGATAATACCATCTTTACCTATGAGCTTTACTCATTTTATGAAGTGAAAGAAGTGCGGGAATGATCGGTATGCCTCTCTTCAACTCATTATCAGCAAGGCATATGACAATTTGAGTGGCCCTTTCTCCATGCAATGATGATAAGATGGCCTTTAGCTGTGCCTGTGGAGATGGCCATGAAATGTGTGGAGTCAGTGACGTACATGTTTACCGTGAATGGATATATGACGGACATAGCGATCCTTGGTTGTGGACTTCGATAGGGTGACCCCCTTTCCCCATATCTCTTTCTTTTATGTGCTGAGGGATTTCTAGCTTTGTTGAAGCAAGTTAAAGAGCAAGGCATGATAAAAGGAATAAAGTTGGCGCCGACCACTCCAACTGTTAGCCACCTATTGTTCACGGATGATTCAGTACACTTGGTTCAAGCTGATAGCAAGGGCAATGGCCATTAATGATATCGTCCATTTGTCTGAAACCTGCTCAGGGCAAGTCATTAACAACCATAAATCTTCAATAATGTTCAGTAAAAACCCCTGCATCCATCATGAATTAACTGGGTCTCCAAGCAAAAAGACTAAGGAGGAAGTACTTGGGGCTCCCCACTTACATTGGAAATTTCCACCCAAATGGCACGGAGCACCCTAGGTGACGGTGTCCTGTATTAGGGGGTGCTTGCCATGTCGTCCCCTTTATAGTGGTTCGTGCCGATAACCCTTAGATCATCAACAAGTGGGCCAAGACTGCCATGCCCTTCGACGTGCTCAAGATGGAATCTTCTGAAAACTTGGCGCATACTCTAGGATACATTTGAATCAACGACATTTTTATCCCTGGATGTAACCAACCTGATGCGGAGCATCCTACGATCATCCCCATGTACACTTCGACTACTCCCCAAGCCCCAAGAGGACATACGATGAGACCTCGACCATATGCCATTGGACACAAGGTGAACTCACTCCTCTTTGAACCGTCACTTTCCACATATGAGACATGGCTACTACCTCATGCATGGACCTTGCATATACTCATGTACAACCGAGACAACCATGGAGGATCCAAGGACCAAGGCGAAGCATGGAAGAGGAGAAGGAAGAAGAAGCAGGGACAAGCTTCTGGAAAGCCCGAAACTTTCGGCCCCCGGACCTTCCGGCCTGCCCGGAACCTCCGGCCCCTGGAGTCCAGACCAGCCCCGAGTGCGCCAACTCTCTGGATAGCCCGGAACCTGGCCGGAACTTCTGGCCTACCTTGGTGCAAAGACTCGGGCCGAAGCCCATGTATTCCTTTCCCACTTACCCCTTCGTGGCTTAGACTATAAATAGACCACCCCCTCCTCCTAGTTAGGGTTAGCGTTGTGATAGCTCATTTGAGAGATAGAGCTTCGCTCATCCATATAGATCTACTCCATGAGAGAGACCGCGGCCCCTCTTCAGAGAAGATCCTCTTGGATTCAAGACTTCCTCGCGGAGAAGAACATCAAGACCTCCTCACGGAGAAGAACCGGTTACCCTATGTATCGTCTTCTGTTGGATCCTCTTGGATTCAAGACCTCCTCGCGGAGAAGAACATCAAGACCTCCTCACGGAGAAGAACCGGTTACCCTATGTATTGTCCTTTGTTGGATTCGGATCTTGTATCTCTTCGTGTTCTGAGGATCCAGCATATGTGTGACCATATCTTGTTGGTTTTAGTGTTTCTCTCGTGTTTCCCCTCGTGATTCCCCTCATTTTCCCCCTCGTGTTCTTCGTGTTCTTCGCGGGATCCGCTCCTTTCGTGAAAGATCGATCGTATAGGGTTCCACCCTACATCATCTTGGTATCATGATCCATGTTGATCATGATTTCGGAGCCCCCCTCTTAGTTTTCTAGCCTTCTTTTGCTTGATTTCGTCCTAAATTCGAAAATCCCCACCAAAAATAGCCCCAATTTTTTTTTTGTGATTTGTTGGTTTGGATGATGTTTTGTTGATTTTGATCCATGGATTCGTTGTGTCTCAAGTGGATCTAGCCTTCCCCATCTTTTCCCCCATTTACATCCACACAATCTTCTCAATTTTGACCCTGAAAATCGAGTTTTTCCGCCCCCGTTCTCAGATCTGGAATTTAGGGTTCGTCCCGGAATAAATTCCACGACCCCCGGAACTTTCGGGCTAACCAGAAAGTTTACCCCAAAAATCCCCAGACTCCCCTTTACTTTTCCGCGACCCCCGGAACTTTCGGCCTAACCCGAGACATTGCACAAAATTTCAACATCACCCTCCTTCACCGTTTTCATCACAACTTTTCGCTCCGAACTCCGATTTGAGTGTTCTTTGGCTCGTTTTGAAGCTATCGACGTGCCCGAGGACCTCACCTTGGTTTCACCACCTTTTTACCCCATCAATTTTTTGTAACTTTGGCA